TCTATCTTCAGCATGCCATTAACTGCTGCTTGGATGAACTGAAAATTACAGGGAACATTTAGTAAGTAAATAGATTCCTCAAACAAATCTTTAGAAAGTATCTGGATTATCTGCATCAAATTATTATGGATGTAATTTTTTCCCAGTAAAACACGTATTCTTCCATGTTGCTGTTAGCGAAGACTTTCACATAGGAGGCATAGCATTACATTAAAGCACTTCCTGTTTAGAGCAGCATAGTTTGTATACCCACAGATTCTTCCCATTTGGGACTTTCTTCAACAAAAAAACACTGTAAATGATCACTCAATTCTATTTGAAGATGATGCTGAAGAATTCAGGAAAATAATTCGTTGTCAGCTGCTACCATTCAGCAGATAATCTTGACTTCTGAATAGAATTCAGTAAAAGATTCTCATACTCTAGATAATTAGCTCAGTCATGAGATTTCTGTCTTGATTTCAGCAGCCTGAGCATAGTTTCACAGTGTCTTTTATTTTTCCTCCAGCAGTTGTTCACTGTGTTTATTAGTTATTCACCAATTTTCAGTCCTTCCTGTTTTAGAGCATACTTAACACTGTGGTTTCTATCCTTAAGATTTTAAAATAACTGCTCCTACTGTTTGGTTTTTTTTTTTTCCATGGTTTTACCTCAAATGCTATATGTTCTGCACAGTTCTTCATGCAAGCCTCTTCTAGCAACAGCTGATTCTCATAAACTAATATATGTCTTTGAATATTGCTCAGTTATTCTCCACCTACACTGGGACATAATTGCTGGTTTTTGACTGTTGTAACACTATAACATCGTAAGATACCCAGCTACTTCAAGCAAGTGTCTAAAAAGATACAAGTTTTTGCTGAAACAACAATAAAGTTACAAATGTTTAAACTCAAATAGCAGATTTGTTGTTTGAGGAAGGCACATATTCATAAAAATAATACATATATTTTCTTTATAGTAACCAAATAGTATTCTCTATGTGCTATGTATAGTTCTACAGGAATTTAGCAATGAAAACCTTTTCAAAATTGTTAAATTATTGAAAAGCTGAATATATACAAATGTGTGATATCTACTATATAGAAAATTAGCAGAGAGCCTAACAATTCTAAATAATTCTAAAGATATAGGAAGCAGGAAGAAAGGATTCAATCTAATAACAAGAGTTATCTCAAGAATGTGATTTTCAAGTGAGTTGCAGCTTTCATCTGCTACTCTGCAGAAATGTTGAAGAGCGTGAGTTAGAGCATGGGAGCTGACAATGGCTATAGTGCACACTTGAGATACAGGAAAAGTCTGTGGGCAATTTACATCAGTATGTTGCTCTCAAAGGGTTATGCTCAAAGGCATCTGAAGTCAAGGAGAGACCAGCTTCTCAATTTACAGTGAAGAACAGAGTTGTTTAAGTTGTTCTAGAGAAAAAAGAAACAAAATAATATGAACAGATGAGATGACAGTAACAGCAAACCTATAAAGCTACTGTCATAGATTAAATTCAGTAAAAGTGAGGTCCAGGCAATAACACAGCAATAGCTCCTATTCACTTCAAGAACTGCTTATCAGAAAACACCATTTAGCCATCAGGGATTAAGAAAAGTGATATTGTAACAGAAGCGACATCCCTATCCACTGTATTACTTCATCTTGGAAATATTAATATGTCTTACTGAGAGACTTTTATTTAATCTTATGGCTGCTACCTGTCTGTTGGAGCTACAGTTGTCTGTATAAGAGGATAAATAGATGGGTGAAGGATAATAAAACAGAAGTCTGTTAGGGAGATCAAACAATTATTTTCATAGCAGATTTGCTTGAACTAATTGCAACCTATTTTAATTTGAGAGTATTTATATGTACAACTTCTGTAGTTTTTGTTTTTCTTAGTGTGTGAAGAAAAGAAATATTCTGAGAGCTGAATAGGTGAAATTGTTGGACAATTCAGTGAGCTGGAGAATTGCAGGAAAAATGGACGCTAAATAAAGTAGCTGTGAAGCATTGGGACAGGATTTTGAAGGATGCTGAGGGCTTAGAGCTTGCCTGCTGTTTTAGAAGGGACCTGATATACATAACTGTGGGGGAGCCCTGACAATTTAACTACTAACTTCACTGAGGAGAGGACATATAGTTATCATTTTATATAAAGAGAGTTTACTATCCAGATGCTTTGCAGAACAAAGGTATCGTTAATTACTAAGGGATTAATTTGATCCTTGTAGTTAACCCTCTGACAAAATGAGATTTTTTTTATCAGCTGAGAGAGACTGGGAGAGAGCTCTTTCTTTTTAATATCAAGCCTTCTACAATTCATCAGCTTTACAGATTAGAAGTCTGACAGCTCGTTATGTCTACTAGTATATTACACTGTCTGCTCCACAACCACAGACACTAACAGATATGCTCTAGTTTTTATGCTTAGAAAATTGGCAGTTAAACTGTGCGCTGCTGTTCCTCCAGCACCACGTGATGTTCCAGATCCTTGCTGAACATTACACAACAGTCTTTGCTCTCCCAGAGCTCAGTGTTTTGAGCAGTATGATCATGACATTATATAGCTGCCTAGCTGATAAACTAGCATCAGCTCTTCGAAGCACTAGCAATGTGATTCAGACGTGATGTGGTGTCATGCATGCCCTGTCCCCCATCCCACGCATGATTTTGCAACATGCTATATACTCTGTATATCGACAAACCTATGGGGAAAAAAAATGATCATACGACTTCTTTATTTCTTTCTTTTCCCCATATCTTACTTGTATGAGTTGCTTGGACAGACTTGCTTTAATTCAGACTCCCCAGCTTTATATTGTTATCTGTACGCCCCTGAACTGCCCTGGTGCTGCTGTGCCAAACACCAAAAAAAGCTGGCTGAAAATTTATTTTCAATGTCATTCAGCACAAGTGTACCATCAAAGATAGATGTGAGGTAAGACAGCCTGACCACAAAGTTATCATGTGCATGGCCTTACTGGGATTTTTTTAGCTGACATTTTAATAGCTATATGTTTTTTTTCTACTTTTCTTATATGAAAGTGTTATAGTGCCCTGAATCAAATTCTCAGGTGGGGCAAATGTTGCATGGTCTACAAAGGCAGACAGTGGACGGATTAATAAATCCCTTCCCCTTCCTTTCCCTTCCCTTCCCTTCCCTTCCCTTCTCCCCATAAGACTGTGCCACTGCTGCTGTCACAGCCAGAGCGTTTCAAGTCTGTGCCAGCAAGTCACCCTCAGCCTTTAAAGCTCCTTCTCCTTTGCTAACTTCCAAGCAGCATTCAGAGGGTACTCCCAGTCTAATGTGTGTAATAACCATCACCCTTCCGATGCTGATTTAAGTGCAGACCAAGTGAACTTGAATTCTCCAGGCTCTGAATTGGTTCCTAAAGGTAAAATCTCTTACAATGTGAAAAATGCTGTGGGATAGAAGAAGCTGTAAAAGATCTTAAGGTCACTTACTGTCCTTTAAATTCATGCTAGAGACTAGATCTGCAGCCTGTGACTCTTTAGTCTACTGAAATATTTCTTTCTTAAAACTTGTTTTTATCTTTAAAAATGGAGTGTGATGTAGTTACGGCGTGGCATGTAAGAGTTCATCTCTGCCCTTCCCACATTTTCTAGTGCTTTTCATTCTGTTGAACTGATGAATTGATTAATTAATATTAACCACTGTAGCGCACATAAATCTGTGACAATCTGTTACTAGATGAACAAGCTGTCTGTGAACTTAATAAAATTCAATAAACTACCCAGTATTTAAAATTTCCCCTGGTACTGAAAAAAATGAGGTGATACAAAAAATGTTTTTCACAATAGGGTGCTGAGAATGTAAATTACTGAACAATATGTATTTCTGATGTCTGTATACACTCAAGTGAGTGGGTAGTCTATCATAGACCTCAGCAGTTTAGTATCCTACTTTTATTAAGAATAAAGTACTGATTTTTTTCTCTAATTAATTATTCTCTGGTCCATTTCTGTGGAACTGTATGCTTCCCTGGCTGTGAGAGGACAGTGTGCTTCCCTGGAAGTGCCTGTTTGTTCCTGCTTTCCCTCTCTGTTCTGTGATAATTGAGGAAGATAGTAGCCATTTTTTGTTTACTTGTTTCTTGTTAAGTATTCTCAGATTCTCCAGTGTACCTTCTGTTCAAGAGTGCTTCTTGAAGGAAACAGCTGATATCTGCCTATTCTTAATCCAGGAAATAATTAGTATTTTTCCAGTACTGACTGAAGTTACACTAGGGCAGACAGTTCAGTTTCTGTATCCAGCAAAGTAAAATGAGAGAGAATGAGCAATCTGTAAATGAAGACCTTTGGTTCCCATTTTACAAAGCAGAATGTCACCAGAAAGTTGCACTAACGTAATATATTTTTTTTTGAAAAAAACATCTAGAGGCTTAATAAAGGATCTTAGCATCCATTATACCTTTTCATGTCATCATATTAATAAAACGAGAAACTCTGTCTCCAGGTGTTCACAATAAAAACATGTGGCGGAGGGCAATGGGTTAAAACAACAAAGAGAGGAAGAAAGAAAAAGGTAAAAATGAAATTATTTTGATTATCAAAATGAGAAGCAGACATGGCTCAACAGTGCCTGGATATGGGCAAGGGGCAAAGGTACATTTTAATAAGTCTTGAAGAACACAGTGCAATGGCTTAGTAAATATTTATGCAAATATTCTTAGCACTCTTTATGTAAAAATGCAAAGTTCTTTTAAGTCTTCTATGATTTAGTTAATCAGAATTCTTCCAAGGGAATGAAATTATCATAATTATTTCATAAATATATGTATCATGAAAATTGCCGTGTTTTGCTTATTTTTGTTTTGCTCATTTTTGTTTTGCTCAATTTTGTTTTGCTCTTTCAGTATATTGCAGTTTCTGTGCAGAGTGAGGTTGTACCAAAAGATTGATTTCCCATGGTGAAAATTAGAGTTTCATAGGACTTGGAGACTTTTACTTTGTCATTTTATCACCAGCTGTTTTCTGTCTGTAAATTGCAGGTGAATCTGTCTGGAAAGTCTTCTTCTTTACTCCAAACTTCAGTCCTGAAGACTCCAATGGTTGCTACAATTCTCACGTTTGCTTCTGCCATGGAAGATTCATCACAAGGCATGATCCCCCACTGCTTTTCGATCTCTCCAGAGACCCTGAAGAGAGAGTCCCACTGACTCCAGAAACGGAGAGCCGTTTCTACGAAATCCTCAAGGTCATACACCTAGCAGTAGACAACCACACCAGGTCCCTTCATGCTGTCCCTGACCAGCTGTCATGGGACAACCTTATCTGGAAGCCGTGGCTCCAGCTGTGCTGCTCATCCCTCTTTCAGTCTTGCTACTGTGACTATGACTCGGAAGGGAGTTTGCTGGAGGTGCATTCAGGATAAACAAGCTGCAATTCCCTTTCAGAAACTAGAACAAGAGAGTGTGGATAGCTGACTTGAACCACTGTGGCACTAGCCTTCAGAAGGTTTTGTTATGTAGGAGGACCTGTCTTCAAATGTGTCATTGCTGCAGAAGATCATTTCAGCCAAGAAAATGTGTCAAGAGGGAAGACACACCTTTTCTGTCTTTATCATACAAGAAACTGTAGGAAACACGTTACCATCCTCATCTACAAATGGGTAGGCTGCAGGCATTTACTAGATGAGATAATTTTCTAGATCTTCAGCTTCAGCTTTTTTCTTACACAGCAAGGAATTTTCCTTTAGTTTCTGTAAATTACAACCACTAAATGCACACTTTCCTATCCTTCTGGCTGTTATCCACCACCAGTAGGACATAGCACTGAGTAATTGGAAATAAAGAGATAGTAGTGGAGAGGTCCACTTGTGACTATAATTTGGTGACTGGAGTAAAGATCAGAACTGCAACAGCCACTTGATCAACAAGCATTATGGATACGAAATCATAAACAGATTGCCAACAATCTAACATTGAATGTGCCATAAAATGTAGAGAACTATGTAGTGGAAGAACTTAAGTCTGCATTAAAATAGTGCTCCCTAGCTAGTGTCCTATTGCATGGCAGCAACCTTTGTTTCAAGAAGAAACCACTTCAAGTGCACCAGTCGCGTGCTTGAGTGTGTACTGTAAGTCTCCATATGCATATATGCAAGACAAATTCTTAACTCCCCAAAACCCCACAAATCCTTCAATCCCTGATATTGACACACCTTTATGGTCACAGTCGAGTTGCTAAAATGAAAGATTTGCTCCCTACGTGATATCTGAGTTCCAAATTCACATGACACTACACAGATATCTTTTACTATCTGCCATACCTGTTCTGCTGGCGAATGTAGTGTGCATCACAAATAAATAAAATTTGGTCTTCCTTTAAATGTCTTTGCCATCATTTCAGATTTCTGAATAGGATCTATTATTTTCTGAGAAGAAATGGGCTTGCGCACTTAAAGACAAATATAACTCTCTCTGAGTTCTTAACAAGGCCTTGGGAAATCTACAGTACTTCAGGGCTAGTTTCTGTATCCGTTTTATCTGCCTCTTATTCAGACACATATTCTTTCCACTTTACAGGCGGGCAAACTATTTTCTTTGGCAGATTGTACCAGAGGAGAACATATCAGCAAAATACTGTAATGATTTGATGCCTGATAATAGAAGGTGACTTGCTCCTTATCAGAAAACACTAGTTAATTCCAACACTATAATGTATTAAAATCTGTTTTGTGCAAAGGTGATCTGTGATGATAGTAATGCAATAGCTTCAGTCAGACAACATTAAGATTGTGACCTGATTCTTGGGAGCTGTTGAAGTCTGTCCTATAAAAATATATTGTGATGTATGCTATATTTCTCTGTCTGTAAAACCTAGGCTTTATTTGATTTTTCTGCTGCAGTTTCACTCAAAATTTCATTCTCTACAATATCCAGATGCCTGTCCTGGGGAATATTGTACTCTTCCCTTGAAGCCCTATTTTTGATGTTTCACCTTGTGTTAATGATTGTGTATCTTAGGTATGTGCTCTGCAAGCTCTCTTTAGGTAGCAAAGTCCTGTATATGCTGATGAAGTTACTCTGTTAGGTATTTCCCTGATAACCATTCAGTACTGTTTATATTGTACTTGGAAAGCTGTCAGATGGCCATTCATGTGGCATAATTCCCTCCTTGCTTTATTTAATCACTGGATGTACTACATAAACTTAGGAAGAAATATGCCTGCAGTTTGAATACAAATACTCTTCTGCAGTGATAGTGGCTGGCTCTTGACATCATGGCAGGTTCCATACATCCCAAATTTTTGTTCCTAACCATGTGGCCAAAGAACCCCTTGGGACATGGCACTGGTGCCTGTGTGCCTCCCCCTGCAGCGGGCAAGGAGCCTGGGCTGCAGCCATGGTGCCGGATGCCTTGACACTGAGTACCGAGGTGTGGAGGGATGCTCTCTGCAGCTCTGCTGCAGCTTACACGAAACTTTCAAGCAAATATTCTTGCTAAAGCACATGGGAGAAAATATGTTGTGTGTTAGGTACAGAGCAGTAACTCAGACTAGGTGTCATTGGATCTGTTTTGTTCCCATGGTTGGTGGTCTGTGACCTTAACAGGGATCTCAATTTATATTCTCAAGGACATCCATGTCTGCTTCTTTTCATTGGGGAGATGCTATGTTGCTATTATTTATTTTCTTTCTGAAGGTATAAGAATTGTTTGTTCTGTTAGGCACAACAGCTGTTCTGTGCTGCCTGACTGAGACAGAAAATGATAATTTTTCTACTGCTCTGATTTCTTCTTGCTTGAATATGGCCTTTCTTTCATACCCTCTTTGGCTTTTGGTGCCGTCTCTCTAATCTCCTTTCTTAAAATGTCCAAATCGCTCAAATACTTTCCCACCTATTTCTTTGGCACTCAGTCCTCCCATTTGCTTGTCATATTGATCACAATGGCTATTTTACCCCAATCAATCAGAAGATGAAAAATGGTCTTTGTGAAAATATTTGACTTTAAGGGCTCCTTGACTTCTACTTGTTTAAGGTCTAGCAAGGATTAACTTTATGTTATGAAGTCTAAGAAATTAAAACACACCCAAGACACCCTGAATAATAAAAGTTATTTCTTGTTTGTGGCACAAGCTTCATATTTTCCAAAATATAACTTAGTACAAGTTTTAATATTTTGACTTAAGCAGTAAAATCTGAAATCCATTTTTACAGTTGTTCCTTTGAGAAGGACTCTATTAAGAAAAGAGCAGTATTTTTTCATACTCTATGTTAATGCCATTTCATTTAATGACTAAAATAAACTTTCCCTGTATTGCAAATGTATTATACCTCTCAGTACTGTACCTTCTGTTCTGGAGATGGCATGTCAGATCACGGTAATTAAAGTAGTCTCGTTTATCTGCAAAGTAAAATGAGAAGCACAATATACCATTTTTGTAATGGCACTGCCCAATTTAACAAGGAAAATCTTTGTTTTTTACAACAGGTTATTGATGGGATATAGGTGATTCACAATTTATTAACAAGGAAGTGTCAAGGAGAATGTGCTGCTCTGGTACTTTTAGACTGGCTTTCAATCTATCATTTAACGAGCATCAATATTGTAACATAGTGCCTGTTTGTAGAATATGTCAGTTTAAACTGGGAGTTAAACTTCAGAGGGAAGTGTATTCCTCTACAGTATCACTTAACAGTATCACATCCTAGTTTATCACAGAGTCCCTGTATGGCCCAGACCATATGCCATACAGGGAAAACTAGGATGCAGAAGAACCCCCTATACTAGGAGGTATAAGATACCCTTAACTTCAGGTTTGCAGATAGGTTCTGTGCTTACTGCTTAGCACAAGTGGGGTTGGGGCCTGGAGGAGAGAGAACAGATGGCTAAAGAAGATGCATACTGGGAAGTCAGAGAAAGATATTAGTCAAATTTTTCTACTTATATTCCGTCTTTCTGTTATCAGAGATGGGAGACTACATGGAATTATTTAAACAATATTTTGCCCTAGGGGACTGGATGTCACAGGTTCCTGGCTCTTTAAAAATAGAGATGTCCTGACTTGCCTCAAATTACTGTGTCAGAAAAAGAAAAAAAAAAGAAAGATGGGAAATATGAGCCTTTGGAAATAGGAGTCAACTCACTGAAATCCAACTGAAAGTTTGCAGAGAAATAAGTGAATATGGTTTAGCCCTAGCCACTATATAAGCCCCACACAGCCAGTGGGAAGGGGGGGAGAATCAGAAGAGTAAAAGTGAGAAAACTTGTGGGTTGACATCAAGACAGCTTGATAGGTAAAGCAAAAGCTGCACACAAGCAAAGCCAGAAAAGGGATTCATTCACTACGTCCCATGGGCAGGCAGGTGTTCATCCATCTCCAGGAAATCAGGCCTCCACCACACCTAACATTTACTTGGGAAGACAAACACCATCACTCCAAACATCCCCCCTTCCTTCTTCTTCCCCCAGCTTTGTATGCTGAGCATGACGTCTTATGGTATGGAATATCTCTGGTCAGTTGGGGTCAACTGTCCCAGCTATTTCCCCTCCCAGCTTCTTGTGCACCCCCAGCCTGGTTGCTGGTGGGGGGGTGTGAGAAGCAGAAAAAGGCGTTGACTCTGTGTAAGCACTGCTCAGCAATAACTAAAACATCCCTGTGTTATCAACACTGTTTCCAGCACAAATCCAAACTGTAGCCCCATATGAGCTACTATGAAGAAAATTAACTCTGTTTCAGCCAAAACCAGCACAATGGTCTGTATCCTTCACAGCTCAGTGAGAACCATCACTTGCCAGCAGTAATTCAAATCACATTGTAGTAACGTGAGATCTGTGTGTTCAGATGTGTGGGTAATGTAGAAAATTTCACATAAGATGTCACCTGATGTAGGAACAAATTGGGAAAAAAAGAAAAAGAGGGCAAAAATCCCATGTTCTAATAGAGTACGTATATCAAAACATAGGAGTTTTTGACTTACCTTAGGACATGATATTTCTGTGCATAAGACAGAGCTTTTCATCTTCTCTGTCATTTCTTTCCTCTGGCATTGCCTGAGCAGCATCTGAAATACACTCTGAGGAGCTCACTTTCAAGAGGAGTCCACCTTGTCTGAGTACACTACAAGCAGACTGGCCAGCCACGTGGACCCGAGGAAAGGCTGGCGCAGCAAAGCTCTGAACTTGGAACCACCAGGGAGCAAATGATTTCTGGGGGTTGTCTCCAACCTGAAGACAGAGGACTATGAATTGCTCATTCCTCTGTGTCTGTCAGGGACTGCAGGTGACCAGGAGGAATGAGGATGCCTCCATGGCCAGCTGGACTGCAGTGTATTCTGCAGCAACATCCTTCAGTGTTGGACTATAAGGTGGACATTTGCTGTGTTTACTCAGAGGACCCCTTGCCTCTGAGTAAACACAGCAAGCAGG